TTTCTTGTGCGAAAGATATAATTTTCCAACCTTCGTCTCTCCGAATCTCCATCTATAAGATCTTATTTGATGCACTAAGATCTTTCATCTCAAATTTATCATTGATTGGTTTCTTCAAAACTTGAACTTCGATATATTCTTAGCAACAATAAGTATGTCATCCACATAAAATAGAAGATACACAAAAAAAACCATCTTCCAACTTGTCTATAGTATATACAACTATTATAGGCGGATCTTAAATACTCGTGACTAAGTATAAAGCTATCAAAGCTTTCATATCAAGCCATACAAAGTTTTGTCAATTATAAATATGGTTTTTTTTTCTTTTCACATATTTTCCCCTAGCGGAGACACGTAGATGGTCACTTTAAGCTTATCGTGTTGAAAAGCTATCTTCATATTAAGTTGCTCGAACTCTAAATCAAATTAACCAACCGTGGCAAACAACATATAAATAGTAGTATGTTTCACAACTAAAGAAAATGCTTCACTGTAGTTGATTTTCTCCTTCTAATTATAACTTTTAGCCATCAAACGTGCATTGAATCTAGCATCTTCAAACCTGTGTGTTTTTTTCTTGATGATCCATTTACTTTCAATGACTTTACTACATTTAGATAATTTCACCAAATCTCAAGTCTAATTTTCATAGAGTGTCTTGAGTTCTTCCGTTATCTTTATGGCTTCTTAATCGGATTCACCATGAGTGACAACCTCTATATAGATAGAAGACTCCTGGATACCTATCGTCTTAGCTCTTGTAAAGGTATAAGCCACTAGTTTAGCATAACTATACTTTTCGGAAGGTCTAATTTATCTCATTTCCTACCTATAGCTATTAATAAGGTTACTCAAATTATATGACATCATTATCTATGTTTGAATCAAGTTGTTTATCCGCAACTCGAGGAAAAACATCTAGCGACGACTTCGAAAATGTTTCTCTATTAAGCTCTACTCGAAACTCCACTTTTTTCATAACTTTCTCATCCTTTCCTATAGGCTCATAAGAAACTTTTATTTTGTCAAATATAGAGTTTTCATTTAAAGTAACATCCCTACTAATAATTAATTTACATGAGTTAAGGTCGGGCACTATAAAAGATAACCTTTCACCTCATCGGTATAACTAACAAATATGCATTTCTCCACCAAAGTCTTATTCATACACTCCGCCACCATATTTTACCAAGGAACGTATCTAGTTGTGTGATATTGAATGATCCTCAAGTTTGTACAAAACTCAATCCATCATAAAATTCTAGGTCATTATCTATTTGGAGATGTTTAATCTTCTTTCTTGTTTGGTTTTCAACTAAAACTTTTCATTTTTAAAATTTTTCAAAAACATTACTCTTGTATTTGAGAAAATGAACTAAACCTTTTAGGAGTAATCATCTATAAACGTTAAAAAATAAAATACACCACTTTCGGATGAACCTAAGTTGGTATTTGTAAATCCAAGTGAATGTAATCACATGTGTTTTTTATCAAATGAGTACCAATAAAGAACTTCACTTTATTTTGCTTTCCAAATACACGATACTCATAGAAGTCAAGTGATGTAGTATGATCGCTATAGAATAAACTACGTTTATTTAGAACGACCATCCATCTCTTATTTATATGACCCAAACATACATATCGTATTTAAGTCGTGTCTCTAACAAAATAAGAATAAGACACTTATAGGACTTGTCATTGTACTATCATGCATTATATAAAGGCTATTCACCTTGTTACATTTCATCACAACAAACGAACCTTTGAAAACCTTAATAGTTTTATTCCTACCAAGTATACATGCATATGATGGAATCAATACTCGTTTAAAAACATAAGATTCTTCTTCAAGTGTGATATATGTCTTATATCCGTCAAAGTCCTCCTTATCCATCGTAACACCTAATATGAACTATACCAATATCAACCATCTTATTAACTACATCCTTGCTCATCAAAAGTGAACCATTATTTATCGGCTTAGAAATAGCAAATCAATCCCCGTTTAGACATATACGTTAAGATACACCTATATCCATATTCCACTATTGATCTAATAGACATACAACAAAAACATTTTCCATGTCGTTTCAATTTCATTAACCTCTGCTTTATCAACATGATAAAATTTTTTATCATGATGTTTCTTCTTTTCTCTAAAAGAAAGACAATCTGATTTGTGATGCCCTTTCTTATGACAATAGTAGCACCTAATATTTTTCTTATTAAAGGTTGTCTAGATTTCAAACGATTTTTAGATTTTCTTTTATAACTATCTTTGTCCCTCGGTCTACCCGTAACTAGCAAATCCTCGACCTCACTCTCAAACTTTATGCCATTCAAGTTATTTCTAAACTCAGCAAAATTCAAAAAGTCTTAATATCTTCTAAAGTTATGGACTCTATTTCATACAATATTGAATTTACAAATTCTTATACGAAATAAATAGTGAACATAATACAATGAGGGCTTAATCTTTTTCATGAAGTTTAATTTTTTAATTTTTCATATTCATGACAATCTTATTAAATTCATCTAAGTGTTTCTTAATAGACATACCTTTTATCATCTTCGGTGTGTAATGACATTGCTTCAAGTATAATCTCGTTATAAAAGATTTCTTCTTGTGCTGACTTTCAAGTTTCCCCATAAAGAAGTCGATAAATCTTCATCGACGACTTCTTGTAGATGCTTGTCAAACAAAGATAGTTGCGGGGCACCATAAACCTTCTCTTCTATCTCTTCAATCCCGATGGTAATCATGTTATTTGGGTGATTTCCATCAAGTTTTTTGACAAAACCTTTATCCCATTACAAAGTCTTCATCTTTATCATCCATATATCAAAATTATTATGACTACCAAAAGGAGTAATCTTGAACTATAGGGCTCCATCACAAACAAAAAATTATTAGAATTTAAAACAAGGCTCGGATACAAATTTGTTGCAACAAATAACGGAACAAATGAGTAATGAAAAATCAAATAAATTAAAAAACAAAAAAAAATCGAGAAAAAAATTATGTGATTCGATCAAAGTGATCTACATCCATCAATGAGGAGAGAATTTTTCATTAGATGAAACAAAAGAATTCAAAAGCATCTTATATAGTGGCTCAAACTAAATCTCTTATGGTTTTTTTTTCCCGTTAATACAAAAAAAGAACAAAAATAGTTTAAATGCCTCGAGCATAAAAACAAAACCCAAATGGGTTAAAAGATATATCGAATTGGCCCATAACTAAATGAGTTGATCCATCACAAAATCCAAAGCATATTTAACAAGTTCCTTTATAACTCTATTATGGTTAGGAATATATTGACCATCTACTTTTTAGCAATTCAATTACGTGATAAAGTTTTTTTTTCTTTTTAAGCACATGGAGTCATAGTTACAATAGCACGATGAATTATAAAATTCAAACTAAATAGAACTGCAAAATAAACTAGGAATTGCTAAATATGTTATGGCAAGAGGAGGCCATGGCTCCCCCAATTTTTTACAAGTTTTCATTTTGGCGATAAAAGTTTTGAATATACCTTTAACAATAGGTCAATTTCATTTAACAAAATCAAAAGTTTGCCTAAAAATATTACTTGTTATTCTACAATCGTTATTATTTTATTTTATTTTTAAATTTATCCTAAGTATTTCATATTGGCACTCTCGTTTCTAAAATTATAATTCCATCCTTACCCTTGGTCCCAAGATAATAAAATAAATTTCATTCAAGCATAGCAAGTTATTGATTTCCTTCCAAATATAATACAAGCCATCTATTCCTCTCACATTAAGCAATATATAACGAGTAGCATACCCCATGAGTTTTCATCCATGCGTATTACATAAAAAGAAAAGTTTCTCGATTGAATCCGATCAAGAGACAAAAAACTATATGACAATCATTTATATTCTTTATATTAAAAAATTATGAATCATCATTCTATTACGAGAATCATTTTATTGGTCTCTTATAGTTTTTATTGTGGTTCGTCACTTAAGATTGTTGATCAATTAATTGCGAAAATACATATAATTTTATTTAATTACATCATGAACTTCAAAACAAAATCTCTTGGTTTTCCGTAAAGAAAACAAACCTTAGATTAACTAGCAACAACCTTTTCACTTTTTTGTTTTTTTTAACATATTTTGATATAATTTCATGTGGTTCTAGATTTGAGTTTGTTTTTTGTTTTTTTACACCAATAATATGGTTGTATCTCTCGTTTGACAAGTTTATGTATCATTTGAATAAAGGTTTTATGTCATATTTTTTCGATGAATTGATGATAACTTGAGATTTCTATGTATATGTGAGCTAAAACAATAATTTTATTTCAAAAAAATCTTGATAAAAAAGATAAAAAAATCTGATTTGACGGTCATAGATCGACTAATAATGATCTTGAAGATTATCTTTCATCACTATTGTTGGTTGTTTGGTTTAATATTTTTCAATTAGGAAGTTGTAATTTCAATAACCATTAGATTTTGAAAATAATGATGTACTTTGCTTTTTTTTTTTTGTGTTTAATGAATTTACCATATTCCATATGTAAAAAAAAAGGACAATAATTATGGTTATAAAAGAAGAAACATTTTTTTTACTAAGTGGAAAGTGAGAAGTGATTTTGTTTTCTAATATCTCTAATTAAAATTATATGATGGTTGGTTTATAATCTAAAGCCGCGAACCAATTGTCCTTGTAATTTCTCCATGGCCAAACAAATCCTGCATCTTTTCTTTTTTATTTCCGACTTAATTTTGTGCTTTACCTTTTCTCCGGTACCATAACTGGTGCAATTGAGCAGGCTTGGGTTGGGCTTTAGCCTCCTATTCAAACCATGATCGAGCATGAGTCGGCCTAAGCCCTAACGGTCACCTACCTATCTCACCACGCAACGCAGTCATAACACTGGTTCAACAGTCACGGTAACAAAAAATCTTCCAGCAACAATCCGGTTTCCCTCCTAATCCTTGGAATTGAATTAATGGCTCTCTCACTTCAGAAAACATGGAGATCTCTCTTCTCCTCTTCACGCTTGCCTTCTATTTTACCATCCGCAGCTCGAGAATTCCGATCAGATGCGGCTTTAGAAGCCATATTAAAAGCAAACGAAGAAAAAACCCCAAACATTGTGCTCTATAACTACCCTTCCTTCTCTGGTGCTTTCTCTGCTTTATTTGCTCACCTTTTTCACACTCGTTTCAATCTCCCTTGCCTTATCTTGCCTTTCTCTTCCGTCGAACCCTTCAGGATTGAAGATTTCAAAATTGAAGGACTTGAGAGATGTTATCTGCTTGATTTTATTGGTCCACATGGATTTGCTTCAACTCTTTCGCGTCAATCAAATAGCGAGTAAGCTAAAATGGCACGTTGATTTTTATTTTTTATTGTTTATTTTTATGAGAATGTGGATAGGTTTATTTAGGTTTTTTTTTTTTCGGCAGGGTAATTTGTTTTGATCATCGAAAATCGGTGCTTTCAAGGGTTCAATCGAAAGAGGATTGTGGAGAGAAAGTTAGGTTTTTTTTATGTTGAGAAGAGTAGCTCCATTTCTGTATACGAGTACTTCTCGAAGAAGATTTTAGATAACAATGTAAGTAGTAGTAGTGCTGTGGTGGTGATTTCATTTATTATCGATTTAATTTTAGTTTTACAGGCAATTTGATTATTGAGTTTGAGAATTTATTTTTCTTAATTACAAATAGGGGGAAATTGCGGGATTATTGAATCCGGAAGATCATGTTCGTGTTGAACTGGTTCTCAAGTACATTGAAGATATGGACCTTCGACGGTGGAGTTTACCAGATATTAGAGCATTTAAAGTTGGAATTAGTGAATGGCTCTCCAAGTTTAATTGTGTCACTAACCCGTATATGTTTGAACAGGTTCGCACTTTGGATTTTGATATCTTGTTTTTGTCCATGGATTGTTGTTTTGGTGTTTCGAATCCATGTTGGATAATTTATCTTATTGCCATTTGTTCAAAGCTTGAAGATTGTTAGAAGATGTTTTGAATTAGTAAAATGGCCTTTTTATGTTGTCTCTGTTTTTACCTTGCACTCTACTTCCTCTAAATGCTTATAATTGCTGAATTTTCTTTAACTTGCATTTGTAGTAGTTGCTGGAGATAAGTTCTGTTAATCTAATTGAGAAAGGAAATTCATATATTTCGTCCCGGTGGGCTGCTGCTAGTAAGTTGCTGGATAAGGTTTTTAAAGTTCAGTTGGGTCAAGGATTTTATGGAGAGTGCCTGGTAACGATTTCTCAGATAACACTTTTTGTGCTGTGGATTTTCTGCTCTATCTTATATGAATTGGGCTTCAACAGATTATTATCTCGTTTTGACTGACATGGAATCTAAGGGCTATAGTTTCTTCCCCTAGTAACGCTGTTGTGGTCTTTCTGCTTCTGTTTCTGTTATTATAGGGAGTAAGAGCAGATGGCAATTCTCATTTAGGTGATGAAATCGGCAAGCAACTTAGTGTAAAAAGTGCTGCAGCTGGTCTAAGGTAATTTTTTCTGGAGTTTGTATGTGGACGTTCTCTTCTGGTCCTTTCCTCTAAATATTGAGTAGTATTTCTAATTTTCTATTATGGCAGTTTAGATACTAAACATGAACCTGACTTAACATCTGAATTATTTTTGGCTGAAGTAGCTGATTAGGGCCTGTTAGCTTAATGTGGCCAACCCAACCCTTCTGTTTTTTCCAGGGCAGAGGGTGGGGTTGGGTAGGCCTGGGTTTGCAGAGCAAGAGGTCTCTGTAGCTGGACAATATTATGACCATCTTAGTTACTTTTCTTGTTGGCATGCTGCAGTTTCAAGGTTATTGAATTTCATATCCTAGGGTCCTGATTTCAGTTGTTTTTTGTTGGTCTGTCACGGTGTCACAGACTCAAGTCTTGACGGTAAATTTTCTTCAGAATTTCTTCAAGTTTCTATGAGATGTCACGGATTACTTGAATTATATAATTTTAGTTTGTCCATCATAAGTTCTCAAAACTTTGGACTGGATAGAAGTCACTTTGATGAATAGCTGGTCATGGGCTGTTGGCCTTGAAATCTGCCATGCCCGCTTTGTAGTTTGAAGTGAACAAAGTTAGAGAAAGATCTATATTGAAGAGTTGGTGAAACTATCACAATGGTTTGCAATCTAGCATTTGGCCTTAGTTTTAGAATTGTTGGTGGACTTGGGGGTGGGATGTGTTAAATCATGTTAGTGTAAAATTTTCAGCGGGGCTCTTGTAACTTAATACCATAAACTTGAGCTTCGGTTCTTTTAGCAAAACAAAATTTTTTCATGAAGGATAACTGGATAGACACTGCAGATTTTCTTTTGTTTTGGCATATTATCAGATGTGTAATATGTGAATTTCTTGCATTAAACATTGGTATGGATAGAAGTAAGACAATGTTATTTAACTTGCTTGTTCTTGACGATGCTGTGGCTTGGATACCAACTTATTGATGTAATGTGTCATCATGTAGTTAAGTGAATTACACAAATCCATATGTTGGCCAAGTTACCCTAGGAAATTTCTACTCATTCACATATTTGCCTGAGCTTATAGCTAATTATAATAGTACCACACATCATCTTATGCTGTATGCATTGATGGTATCAGGCCCATAGGAGCTGTTGTGTATGTGCAACGAAATAATCTTAAGATGTGCTTAAGGAGTACTGATGTTGCTACTGATACCTCCGAAGTTGCAAAGGTTGTGTATTTTGACTAGTGAATATCTTCTAGTTCTTGTATTGACTATTTTGGGAGACCAGTTCAAGCAATTTTTCTTTGGCTTTCTGAACATGAAGGCATACGGAGGAGGTGGCTCACCTAGTTCCAGCTCTTTTATAATAAGGATGGATGAGTATAATCAGTGGCTTTCAGTTCACGCATCATGATCACATCCGCCAAAGGGTATGATTTATCATTCGTAATTTCTGATCATTATGTCAATTGACCTCTGCTAAAGCACTAACAATATCATGCCCACAACATTTCTAAGCACTTTTTTGCTTTCTTTCTGTCTATCTTATGTCATTCTTGATATGCCATATACGTGGTATTTCAATGATGATAAACCATATGCATGTTACTTCATAATTGCAAAAATAGCTGATTAACTTGTGGTTCAGCATTTTTTTGTGTTTTATCATGATGAATAGCTTAATTTTTTTATGTGTGACTGTAGATTTAGTCAAATCAAGCTAAATAGTCTTTGATTATAAGATGGCATAACTTGTAAAATATGAAGTGCCATATCATCATACCAGGTTCAAGGGAATGAGTATACACTGGTACAAGTGCTGCATATGGCTTCGAATTACGATAGGAAATGTTTGCCAATTATGATGCATCACCATTAACAAATATTTTGTTGCCACTGCTTCCACCACTGTCGTGTAGTTTACTGATGGTTTTGCCACAAATCCACGAGTCATTTTCCTTGGAATAGAATTTTATTTGAATATTTCTAGAATTGCATTAAGATATTTCTAGTTCAAGACAATGCACATATGAAGCTTGCTTTATAGCTAAACTATAATACATATGAAACGGTGAGTTGCCACCATGGCTTGATGCATGTTGTTTAATACCTGCTAATTCTATCCTGTGTAACCTTTTACACAGAAACTTGTATCAGAAGCCAACTAATTTAGTTAACTGGACAACCATCAACCATTATGCCCTTGGCTGTTGGACAAGATGCCAATTCACAGTGTTCACCATTTGTACCCCACCAATTCAAATTCTTATCTTCTATTCCAACTGAGAAGTACAGAAGCACTGCCATGAAAGCTACCCCAGCATCCAATGCTGCTGAAAGAACATAATTGTACCTCTGCCACCACTGCTTTCTGTAACGGAAGATAAAGAAATTGAAAATTGTTCCAACTATGATCCAGGCATTGTAGTTTAATGGTGTAGCTGGTGGCATCATTGCAGTTGCTCCTAGAAGGACTGGAAGGTTAATCAGGGGAATCCAAGATTGCTTGGGGAATGATTTGTGCAACAGCCAAACTATAACTGGTCCTACTGCACCTCCAAGGAAAAACCAGTTCATGGCCTGATAGTTTCCAAGTGTTCCAAAGATCCGCTTGGGTCCCACCAAACCCCATATGACAGAAGCATCAAAGAAGACCCGGTCACCTGGGCATGTCCAAGGACTGTTGGCGGGGAGGAGATCATCCTGGCATATGTTTTCAATGGAGTTCAGCAGCCACCATGCCACTGCAAGGTTGATGGTTCCAGCAAGAACTGTTCCTATGAACTAGGCATACCCAGATGGAAATGCAACATGCGAATAAATATCAGTATCCATAAGTGGAAACGATAAATGATGTGTAAAACTAGCAACAAAGAGTGTTGATTGCTTTAGATTGTTCATTATAATTGACTTCGTCAGTTTAAGGTCACAGTTTTGAGGAAATTCTTGGATGGTTGAGCCTTTTTGCATGCATCACATGAAAAATTATGACAATTAAACAGGATATCTGGATTTGATTCATTTTGTTACCTAGCCGGCAGTACAGAGAAAATGTACCTGAACCAAGAACATTGATCTTGGAGGAATCTTCATGTAATGTCCTAGCTTGAAATCATTGAGGAAAGAAACAGCCTGAGCCATGCTCATGTATCCATAGGTTTTGAAGCATACATTGGCTATTGGTCGCCCTGGTAATATGATGCCCATAACATACTCTGTTATTATGTTCAGCCCTGGCGTCTGTATATGAAGTAGTAGAGCATTAATAATGAAATAACAGGTTTAGCCAAGATGATGAGAAGCGAAAAGGAACAGCTATCAAACCCAGATGAACGGTGCAGGAGGTTTCAAATTTATATTTTTCCTTTTTATGCTGAATTTCACTACATATTCATCTCTTGCTCAGATTAAGATTTGAAAGGGAGCAAAATTACAATCAAGTAACCTGGTTTGTTGTGGCAGTTATGATGCTGATGGGAAGGGTGAAGAAAAAGGCCATGGCACTCGCAAAGATGAGTCCCCACCATGGCATCTGAACTTGATCATTCAAGAAGATGCACAATGCAAGAGCAACTGATAATGTCACACCAAGCAACAAGTAAAACCACCAGGAAGGTATGTCCTGGTATCTTTTCATCAATCTTGTATGGATATCCTCCTTGGCCTTGTAAGAAGCTCGATATTGCTCGAGAATCTCCCTGTAGATAATATTTCATACATCAAAACATGCGTCTGTTATAATAAAAGTTTCTGATTGCAGCAACATGGATGAGAAACTAGGTGATATCTGATTCTCAATTCTATTTGAAAATGCTATTTGATGAAAGATTTACCTTCCATAGAAGAGAGCTACATGCGTAAGGGTGGCGGCAATGGTTGCAAAACCGAAGCCATAAGTGAGAGCAAAAAACAAGCTTAAATGAATTCGTCCTTGCTCTTCATAGTTAGGTAGATCCAGCTGAAACTTGTTATTAACAATAGCTGTTATATTGTACTTCTGACCCTCAGCCGTAAATAAGTGCGAGGAAAAAATGGGAAATCGGCGTGCGCTGTACACGTCTAGGCCCCAGTAAGCTATGGGCATTGCAACGTAAATTATCAATCCATAGCCCACCAAGACATTGGCGATGGCAAAGAATGGACTAATGAGAGGACTGAACAAGAAGGATGCCACAACAGACCAGTCAAGTGTAATGGCTCCAAGTCCAAGGCCCCTCATGCCTGAACCAATTTGCTGCGCCGTTACTGACTTCGGAAATACCCAGCAGACCCATGAAATGCTTGAGAGTGTTGTAAATAGGTATCCTGGGAATAGATACCAGACAAAACTGCAAACTAGTGCGATTACGAAGAACTTTGACCGTGTCATGCGGTGATCCTCTTCTTTCTCATGCAAAGCCCTGCAAAATTTATGCAAGGTAGTTTATGTAGGCATTAGTCACATGTGTTATCTGAAGATATTAAATATTTATGGGTGCCTGATCAAATGCTGAAGAATTTGGCAGTGATGATAGACACCATTGTGGTCGTGGCAAAAAAAAAAAAAAAAACATGTAAATCAGTGATTACCAATGGGCATCAGAATCACCAAACTTAGTCATTTTATTCAAATCCAATAATTTTAGTGTCCCATTGCATTCATGTCGTGCTCAAGGCATTAGCATTCTAGACTTTTTAAGTCATTCGATTTCTAATCAGCCCCTTAACAATTAGCACACCATCTCAGTTTTAATTAAAGCACGCCTCCACTATGACATGTCAATGATGATGACAATGGATCAGCATCAATGATGAAGAATCCAAAACAAAGAAAGAAATGATCATTATCATTACCGTGACTATCTACGTTATGAAAAAAAAGAATAATAAGTTTCAATTTTAAAAGAATTTATTATCAACTTTTTTCAGATATAAATCTATCAGATTAGAAAGAAAGAACAGGAATAAAAAAAGAAACAAATAAACAAATTCCTGGATGGTCATGCAAATTAATCGACTATGTGAAACAATAATAGGGTAAAAAAATAAGAGAACGTGACAGAGGGCATGAGATTCGTTAAAAAAAAAAAAAAAAAAAACCAAACGTGTAATAATTTTTATTAATTATCAAGAAAATCCTGATCCTAATTCTTATAATAATTCAAAAATTAAAGATACAAATGATTTGAATTAAACATGCTAAGTGGCTTTGATACATAATTCACAATCAGGCACGTGGATCTCACGGATGAGGAGAGGTTCTCTGTGAATCCATCGACTTTCCTATCGTTTATAGTCTTTTAGTTTTGAAACACAGGACCCGTTTCTTGTACTTGACTTGAATTAATTGTCAAATTCCACTTTCATCATTCCAGCATCGTTGATTGCTACCGTACAGTAGCTAAGCTAAGCTAAGTCAATCACCATTCACCAACCAAAAATATGTGCTCGGCAACCACCTCACTTATGATATCCTTGTCAAACAATGTCATCTAGATTTTAATTTGCACCTAACAATTGAAATTGAAGTTGAATAGCCTTTATCGTTCTAGAAGACTTCCACAAATAGTGAGAAGACACTTGAACTTTGTGTGCTATCCCGTCCCTATTCACCAGTTAGAGTGAAAAGTAATTGTGTGATCTAATAGTTCATTGGTTGTATTTTCATTCATGAGTTGTCAAGTAGCCAAATTTAGAACTTTTCAACTTCTTTATCCATTTCTTCACATGTCGCTAGCTTCATTCGCTGGAGAGTGAACGGTTCTTTTTTGTTCCTTCTTCCTAACTAAGTTAACAGCGCATGTATACATAATTTAATTAAGTGATGAAGAATAATTACTTCTTTTTTTTTATGTATAGGATATCTAAGCCTAAATATATATATATATATTAATTCCTAACTATTTGATGGGACGCACAAGATAGATATATTTACCTAAAAAGATATATATATATATATATACATATACAAAAATTTAAAACCAATCCAGGTTATTTATTTAAATAATTATAATTTCTTTCCTCCACTCGGCCTTCTTGAGTGAAAATAACTACTAATTAATCACACTGATTCAGCTAGGTCGACTTAAGATTCTAGTTGACTAAAAAGGACAAAATGGGGGAAGGGGTCCATTAATAAAAGAAAACGAATCCTAAGAAAAGGGACATGTCACATGTTATCGGTGTGAACTAAGGAGCAAGCAACCATTCAATAAAAAATTATTTTTACTTTAGCTATCAACAAGCTGCAATTATGGACTTATTATGATTGAAATAAAGATTCATCCACTGAGTTAATCATTAACCTCAGCAAGAATCTAAACCATAAAAACAAAATACCTTTTTGTACAAGATGTATCCACGAAAAAAGTGGTGACGTGGATGGAGAAATCATTTGGTGATTTTATATCTATACATAAAAAATAGCACTTGCCATGGAGTGATGAGGGTGCATCACAATAGCTTAATAGCTTATCCAGCTGGAAGGAGTGAGAGATACCTGAAAAGAGAGACCTGGACGAGAGTGGCAGGCCACCACATATGAGCTGGCTCCACCACATACTTCCTCAATAGCCCTGCCCAGCCATAGCCTAACACCTAACGTTACCAACCATGCACTCAAATTATCACCACGCCAATTCTCGGCCAAATTTCACACCCAAATCATGACACAAATAAAAAGAACCTATGGCTACTTCATCTTTTACAAAACTACTAACACAATTGATTCAATTTACTAACTTCGAATTTAAGTTCATCTGTAAAATTAAAATTATACTTCTGAAATGCAAAACAACAACATTTTCCTGGAAATTTTAACAAAATATCACCATGCTAGTTGCCAAAAAAAAAAAAAAAACTGGTTGGAGATATAGTAACGACAAACTCCAACCACCAAGCAAAAAAGGCCAAAATGATAAGTAAAAAAAGGTAAGGAGGCACTTAACCCCATATTGACAGATAACTTTCTGGATTACACCAGCTTGAAATCAAGACTGAGACAAACGTTTTCTTTAAAAAAGATGACAAAAAGAGTACCAAAATTACCTGAGTAGTGATAATGAGAAGCCAACCAGCCAAGAAAGAAATACTCCTTCCATAAAATGCTTTGATGATAGTAACAATACCAACAGCATAAGCAGATCCACTACCAAATGCACTTCCAGCATTAGCAAATATAGAAATAAGCACGTGTTCTTTCATGTTAAACGGACCTGGGTTAAAAGAGAACGTTTTGGACCCGAACCCAGGAATCTTGAACTTGGTTTTTGGCAGCACAGCAGCCATGGAGTGACCTATAGGGAGTGTAGCCACCTGGACAGTGATTTGGCTTATAACAAGTGGCTCGGTTCTGTAAGAGAAGAACTGGTTGAGGAAAGCTAAGAGGGCGCATGATATTAGGCCCAAGAACCACATCCGGAAGGTCCATACGGGTAGGGTTGGGTCGTCCGTGTTGGTCACGGTTAGTCGGACCTCCTCAATAGGGGATATGTCGTCGTCGTCAATGACCTCGGTGGTGGGTTTCTCTAGGTCAGTGAGGTTAGTGGAGGTATACGGTGTTTGTATCTCCAGGCTGCCCATGGTGAGTGGGGTGGTGGAATTTAGGAAGGGTTTGATTTTTTTTATTTTTTTTTCGGTAGGAGGGACTAGGGTGGGGGCTTGGCCCTTTTAAAACATGTTATGTCGGATTCGATAGTTTAATTTTCTAGGGTAGGGTATGGGCAAGTGTGAATAAAAAAGAGTTTGGCAGACGAGTATGGAGATTTTTCTGCTTGTTTGCGAATGCTTTGGATGGGTTTTGTGTTTAAAAAGGGGCTACTCATAGATTTGGCTAGAGATTGAGTGTGTAACCGTTTGCAACTTGACCATGCCATGAGCTGGAGTTGAAAAGCCTTTATTAGACTGGGGTTTGCAACTTGTGCTAAATAAGAAGAAAAGAAATACTTGGTGATTTGAGTTTACTGGCATAAACTTTGTGTTATCTCAGCCAGAACCCTTATCTTGGAAGCCAATTGGGAAAGGTCTGTGAGGAGCAATGGTTCGGTTGACAAATACATATCCTCTATGAAAAAGGTGCTTAAAGACCAGCAAGTAAAAGTTTGACGTATCTCACTCCGAATAATATAAACTTTAATTGTGAATCTTACTCCTTAAAATACACGGGCTGCTTTGTGTTATACTCCTTAATGAATATTGTAATTGTAACTGGTAAGCAAGGAGCTAAAAGTATGGGATTTTTCAAGAATACAATAGTTGTATCTTTATTTATTTTGTGGTTGTTTTTAATGGATTAAACAATATGATAACTTAGAATGGAATAAAGGAACGCAGGCACAATTGGACAAATGACGAGGGGGTCGGACAGATTAGCAGCATTCAGCCATATGGGACCAGTAATCTTCGTTGACTGGAGTGCAAAGCCAAAATAAAATGGATCGAATTTACATAAAGTTCAAAAAACTTCGAAGTTGTGCGGGGGTATTCTCGGAGGGGATTCTAAAATAATCGGCAAGATGACGTAATTAATGATGTAATTTATAAAAATAGTGAGACATGATAAGACTCAAGTTATAATGGTGCGTAAATTGGTTAATATCTGACATGTGAGTATGAGAGTTTTGACAAAAAAAAATTAACTTCATAGGTTTTATTTAAGATAAAAAAATAGATAATAATATGAGATTTATATTTACAGTGGAACAAAAAAAGATTTTTATCACTCGTATTGTGTTAGGTCATCTATATTTAGACAATCAGATTTGAGTTAAAAAAAGCTAGATTTAAAAAAAAATTATTTCAAAATGCTAACAAATGGTAAAAAAATTAACAACTTGGACTTTTTTTAACAGATTTTATTTCAGAACCTATTAAGTCAATCTTTTTAATCCATTTTAAATATAAGGTATGAATACCGATCTTATTAGAATATCCATATCCATTCGTAAGAGATTTAAAATCTTGTATTGGATTAGACTTGTTTTCAATATAATTGATTCACATTCTCAATACCATCTATTTGTTATGTAATTTGAATCCATGTCAAAACTTTAAAAAAAAATTATCACGTAATGAAATTAGATAAATCACTTAATTGATTTTTGGAAGAAGCATATACATAAGTTGGAAGATGCAATTAACTTATGACATGCTTGGTATTGTTACGCAATGCTTTGTTGTGACTGATATGTTTTACTGTAATGTTCGATGTTGTGCTATAGGTAAAACAATATTTGATAACTAATTATTGTATTATTTTTATAAATATTTAAAGCAGCTAAATAATATTTAATTAATGTTGCTATTTTTAAGAGATATAAATTGATCAATAAGGACTGCTTTAAAAATATTTAAACAAATACATTTCATTTATATTAAATGATTTATGACTTTTTAGACTTACATAAAATAACATCTGCACATATTTTTCATGAAATTAATTCTTAAGTTCAAAAAACAAACAAAAAAACATAAAAATTGAATAGAGTAATACGACACAAACACATCATTATTTCAATCAAAATCAATGACATAAAAAAAGATAGAATTATTTAAAACACTAGTATATTTAATATGTATTGTTATTTTAATTAAAAAAAATTAATCCCATAATAAGTAGTTGCGCTTTTAGTTAAAAGTAAGAGTACTTTACTTTATTTAAAAAACAAAACAATTTTCTTTTAAAATGACACCTGTTTTAGTTTTAAAGTAAAACATGTATCAACAAAACACTATTTTTTTTTTTAACCAAAAGTAGTTTTAATTTGTAAAGTTATATTGAATAGTTTTTATTTTAATAGTAAAGAAAATCAAGTATTCTTATTTTTTCTTATTTTTTTACGTATGTTTTAGAGTGAGAGCCTCCTTGTAATATAACCCACTATTAATAAAAACAAGATTATCATCACCATTAATACTCTATTGATTCTCTAATACAACCCATGTTTTTTTTTTAATGATATTTAAAGAGTAATTATTAATATTTATTTTTAAAAGAGGTAAAAAAGAAAAATAAAAAAATAAAAAAGAAATAAAAATAAATAGTTTTGAGCTTATGTAAGAATATTTTTAGTATTTTTAATAATGCATATATAATTTTTTCTTTTATCTTTGTATATATGTCTCTCCTCAAAATAAATTTATAAAATAAATATTAATGGTTACTCTTTCAATATCATTCTAAAACTTGGAGCGAAAGCCTAATTTTTTTAATTTACTTTTTTATGAAGTAATCATCTGATACAGGATGAATCCAAATTAGAAACGATAAATCTATTATATATTCTGAAAGTGGATTCCAAGACTTTTTTATGTGACAGGTTTCAGATTGGAACTGTAAGAGAGGTTTTCCATGGGAAAATAATTACGGGTTAATGGTACGTACCATTTCTGTATGATAACAAATTATTTAATTAGGTGTTTTTATGAATTTAAAAGTTGCTTAAGTCTCTATACATTAATCAGGCAAATGTTCTTTTGACTTTATCGATCCTTGTTTTTATATCTTTGAATATTTAAAAATTATTTTTGCAATTTGAAATGTAATATAAAAAAGGAAAAAAAAAAAGAAATCTCTTTTAATTTTAAAGTCAAAACGACAAAAAATAACAGTTCATGTGAAACGAAGTTCTAGATCATGAAATTCAAATAAAACCCAAACACATTAATTATTGCAGCCTTCCACTGCTGCAGTCTCTCTCCTTCTGTCAAAATATATCTGTTGCCCCCGCCACCTCTTTACTCCAGCAGCCAATATCTCCTCCTCCTCCACCACCACCACCACCACCACCCCAAACCCCCCCCCCCCCCCCAAAAAAAAAAAAAACCCTCAAAACTGCTCTCTTAGGCATTTAATCCAACATTTGGTATGAGTGTTTTTTATTACTACGATAAGAAGACAATGAAGATATATCAAAACCCAACATATTAATAAAAGAAAAATAAAACGAATCTTTGTTGTGATCCTGGAAATCCCCACATATCCCGGGGTTGCATTTTATGTAACCATGCCTTGATTTGTGGCATATAATAATCATTGCTTATTAAAATTGGTATACAATCTCTCTCTTTTTTTGTTGCTAACTCAAGAAATGACATGTATTTGCCGGACAGAAAGATCTACAAAATCTCATTAATTCCACAAAGCAATAAAATCGTTGGAAAGAAAATTCATCTCCGCAATGTGTAAAATAGTATGACATCTGCAGGTGTTGCATAAAAATAGCAAAACCACTGAGTTTTGATTCCCAAATCACTTCAAACAGGTCCATTAATGTCTTTATTCTTTGAAACTTCTCACTCTGTTTTTTTCCAAATTGTTGTTAGTTGTCATTCTTGTAGTGGGTTTGTTCATAGATAGTGGTGGTGTGGGTAATGGATCGTTGTGGTATGACTTGGTAGACATTTGCTGGGGGCTGACGTGGGTTGACGGGCTTTTGATTTCTGGTGGATTTCTCATGGTGTTTGGAGGGGAAGGTGAAGAGGCGTCGGCTGGTTCATGATGCTGCCTAGAGAGTTGTTCTTGTGGATGGTGACGGAGAGCTCTACTATTGCTGGTGGCAATGGATTGCGCAAGTCGTGGTTGGAGCTGGATGATAAGGAGAGGGAGAGAAGTGTGGCGGCAACATCGGCTACCTGCAAACAATAAATTTGTAATTTCTTTTCACCGCCAATGCCGGGGATACTTGAAAGCAAATCCTGATAAATTGGCTGTTAATATTTTTTTTTCCTAATATTTTAGTTTCATACCTAAGTTTTAATTTCAAAAAATGATTCAATCATTAAAAATAAATTACTCAACAAAGTCAGAGGACATGTGAGACACAATTAGAAGAATATTCTCTCATCCTGTTTGATTTACCAAAAAAGAATTGACATTAAACAAATAACTAATCTAAAAAAAACTTGATGAAATTTTGGATTTTTTTCATATTTTTTGTTATAAAGGCAAGCAACCAATCTGTAATCGAAATTTTTTATTTTATAATATTATATATTGATTATTAATTGGTAGTCTCATAATAAAAGATATAAAATAAAAAATTTAAAAAATAAAAAAATGGAGAGTTTTAATTAAAAAAAATAGTAGAGTACATACTTTAAATGTAAATTAAATTTTTTTAAATTGATAGAGGAATCTGATGAAATAATTTGTTATGGTATATGGATAATACGAATAATTAACCCAAATAAATACAGAGGCCACAGAAAGGAGATCGGAAATAGATGGAAATGTCATTATCCTCGACATGGTCCATCGGGATGCGCCCGTGACATGGAGGTACATAAGTCAGAGTTTTAACGCAAAAAATGTCATTGTTATCGTACTAGGGTAGGCATGGATGATTGGATATCCTCTTGATTTAGTCATCTCTAGCGGACCATGCTTTCATTCGGTGAACAAAAGGTCGTGATCAGAAAAATTATCCTCCCTCCTCTTGTAAAAGCATAAGATTCATAATAAAACCTATTTATAAGTTGTATTTTTATACATATATTTACAGATAATTAGATTTTTTTAATTAATATTTATATCGATTAAGATTAAATTTATTATTTTTTAATATAAGTTAATGCTAAAATAT